AATGCGGGGGGGGGGGTGCAGTAGACCGTAAAGTTGTGAGATCGATGCTCGAGATTTCGAAGGTGCACGGTGCACACAACATAATAGGTGTGTGTGTGTTTCATCTCGATGGATATGTATGCCTGTGTATGGGTGCGGCCGTTAAAAAAAAGGGGGGGAATTTGGAAAAAATTTTTAGTCGTACGTCTACAGTAAATGCCTGAAATAGAAAAACTTAGTTTTCTGAAGTTCAGTTGTTTCATTTTCGTAGCTCCAATAGGTTAAAGGCACGACAACAACTGTCGAATAGTTTTTTTTTTTCTTCTTCTTCTTTTTTTATTCCACACATGTCAACCCAGCAGACGTGATTGATCAGTAAAGGTAAAAATTGTGAGGTAAAAACGCATCACGGAAAAGTAAAAATGAACGCAGCGTGTGGAAAATTTGCATAAAGAAAGGATAATTTTTTCAGCTACAGATATGAGTTTGTACGATTTAAGATGAATAAAAATTACTTGTCCAGAAAATGAAATATTTTAGTTTGACATTTTACTGAAAAAACAAAAAAAAAAAATACAAAAATAAAATCAGTTTTATGTGGTTGCAAAGGAAAAAAAAAAAAAAAAACAAATTGATTTTAAGATACAACTTGTGTCCCGTAAATATCTGTAAATATATAGTGTTTACTCCACTTAAAAATCCAAATACTCGCGCAGCAGCAAATAAAAAAAATCATCCCCACTTTATTTCTCACCTAAATTTTTGATCCCTACAACACCTTCCAACCAACCACCAATAAGATAAAAAAAAAAAAAAAAAAAAAACAGGGTTTGTACAATATTGAAAATACCAGTAAATCGACCTCATTTGATAAATAAACAATCCCTCTGGCTTTCATCCCCAACAACTATTGTCTTGAAGAAAAAAAAAAAAAAATACATCAAGAGTTTGCTCGGACGCCGCACCTGCGAACCCCTCGCTCGTTCCCCCCAGAGAGAGAGATGCAACCCTCCAGACACCCGAGCAAACCCGGGCGCCCCTCGCGCAGGCGCTCCACCTCCCTGCCCCCCGGAGGCGCGGGTATCCACCACTTTGTCGCCGCGAAAAACGTGCGCGGTCACGTGAGAGACACCCTACTCTCCTCTTCTTTTCGAAAAATCAAGAAAACCATCGCGCTCTCTCTCTCTCTCTCTTTCAGCAGCTAAGACACGCGCACACATAGGCGCACCTAACGAAGATACGTATATATGTACACACCACGCACATTACCACCGGGGGCTCGGTCTCTTTCGGAGCACACCTATAATAGTGTCGATTTGCATGCCGGCCGAGTTGGAGCGCCTTGGAAACACTTTGGAATCACATTTGTACTGCAGTACTTAGAATGTGTCAGCTCGCAGCGTGACCATTACTTACTGTCATATACATACATATACATAAACTCCCTTTGGACCGTGATTTATATTATGGACTCGTGCACGAGGACATACACGTAGTACATGGAGGGGGAGGGGATGTCAAGGGTGTATACGTGCGCGCGTGCGTTTCTCGGCTCCTGGTGCTTTCGTAGTGGTTGAGAAACCGAGGCTTCGGATATCTTCGAGACGCTCCGGCGGCTGTGCAACCGATTCAAATATATAATATATATATATATATAGGTGAGTCTTATCGACTTTTCGCTCTTGTATGGCCTTGTCCGATCGATATGTATATATTTGTTTACGTATGCACTTCCGTACAATGGAATTTAAGGGATACGGGGGATGATCTCGCTACGCTGGGGATGAGGTTTTTTGGATTTTTCCGTAGACGTCGTTGGAAAATCGGGGGGAAAAAAAAAAGAAAGAAAAGAAAGCTAAGATGGAGGAAGAGAAGGATCGAAGGAGGACGCTTTCTATTTTAAAAATTTGTTGTATATCCCCCGTGCTTGTCACGTCTATATACGCAGGAAAAGCCGCGCGCGCATACGACTGGTGATATTTAGAAAACAGGTACGCGCTGCTGATGCAGATAGGTATGTGATGTTTACAGTGGTGTGTATACGTATTACGTACGTAAGTTTGAGCTATACGCGTACAGCCGCGTGTGCTCCGATTTCACGCGACGCCCCAACTTATAGATTGGTATATATATATGTATAATCAAGTATTCAAAAAATAACAAGGCATTTGGGGTGAAAGTGTAATAAGAGTATACATACGTTGGTACCTGTAATTTGTATCCCGTTGTTGTGTTAAAATGTATTGGTAAAGTAGTAAAAAAAATTGATTCTCGTGTGGACGTGGAATATACGATACGCTGCAGTGATTGGAAAATCGTTGGATTATGATTATTGACTGTACTCATCGGTTATTAAATTCATGCGTGTGCGGTACGAACGCGAACGAGACAAAATAAGCCAAATGTCTATTATAAGTTGTATATTGAAAGATATATATATATGTATAAAAATGATGCATCTTTTGCAGGGATACAATAATAATACATTTCCGGAGAAATTCGAGGCATTAGTTTTATAATGGCGAGCAACGGGGAAAGGCTGGATCTGGACAAGCCGCTCTGGGACCAGAGCACCTTCCTGGGCAGGTGGAGGCACTTTGCCTGGGTCACGGATTTCCGCACGTGCGTCAAGCCCGAGGAGGAGCTTTGGCGGGCGAAAGAACTTTGCGAAAAGTATAGGTATGATTTGCACGTGTATACACTTACGATTCATAACTTTGTTTTTTACATAATATGTGTGTACGTGTGTGTATTATTATTTTTTTTTTTTTTGGAAACTCTCGGAAAAATTGTTATTAGGGTAATACGTGCTTTTACGGGGAGTCACATTTTTTTGTCCTCCACAGGCTTGAACAAAAAAAAAAAAAAAAAAAAAAAAACTGGTTATATTGTAGTATTTCCCATTAATTATTTAACAGCTGGAAAAAAATCATATTCAATTAAACACGGTAAGATCGCGTATTCTTTTTTTCGGATCCGACCGTAGAGAACAAAAATACTTATGAGTAAAAAAAAACACGTTCGAAAACAACATCGTGTTTACGATTGTACATCAAGTTTTCTTGAAAAAAAAAAAAAAAAAATATTCTTGCACAAACATCTTGACTACGTATATTTTCCCAAGACACGAGTCGCGTATCAGAGGATTGTAAAACAGTGTCGGAATGAATATTTCCTGGGAATTTTCGTAGACTGGGCAAGGAGCCAGCCGGCACGACCAGAGAACAGATCATATACGCGAAGAAGCTGTACGAGTCGTCGTTCCATCCGGACACCGGGGAACTGCAAAATGTTTTTGGCAGAATGTCGTTCCAAGTGCCCGGTGGCATGGCCATCACTGGCGTCATGCTACAATTTTACAGGTGCGTGTGCTCCTATATGTACATTGTTTTCTACAAGACTCGTCGTCGCGTGGGTGATTTTTTTTTTGCGAATGACGTATTCCTTCGTTACAGAGTTTACTTAAATGTCGGGTGGGAATACATTTCTCACGGAAATTGAATTAGTATATTCGAGAATTTTTTTTTTTTTTTTTTAATTTCACCAATGGAAAAAATTTGTTTTAAGGACAACGACGGCAGTTGTGTTCTGGCAATGGGTGAACCAGTCGTTCAACGCGTTGGTGAACTACACGAACCGTAACGCCAACAGCCCGGTGACGACGAGCCAACTGGCGGTAGCTTACATGAGCGCCACAACAGCCGCGATGATCACTGCCATTGGATGCAAGACTTTCTGGCAAAAAAGGGCGAATCCCCTCATGGCTGTGAGTCCAACGACGTATACATTTGCTTCGAGAGAAAAAAAAGTGTTTGCTCTCTTCCACTGATTTTTTTTCCACAAATTATTGTTCCCTTGCGATAAATCTGCAACCGATCGTTCTAGTCGACCTCGTTTCAAAGTTCAATCATCCAAGTATGCACGCGCTTTGGTTGCGATCGATTGAATTTCAAACTCGGAGCTTATCGATCCAGGAAATGTGCTATGCCTATTTGAATTGCAAAACACAATCTGTGCATACTGTAGTCATGAAACAAAAATAAATCGAGTCTTTCTCTGAGCATGTTGCGTCGAATCGAAAAGTGAACGCTGCAATAATGAAGCTTTAAAAAAAAAAAAAAAGGCATGGATAATTAATCAATATTTATTTGTTTGTGCAGAGATACGTGCCGTTTGCTGCTGTGGCAGCCGCAAATTGCGTCAATATTCCGCTCATGAGGCAGAACGAGATTCTAGGCGGTATCGACCTAACGGATGACGAGGGTAAAAAGCTCACCAAGTCAAAGGTGAGAAATTTCAATGAACTCTCGTTTAGCACGCAATAGGTGTACAAGTTATGGCTGCGAGTAACGAGTGGGTATTAATGTGCTTTGTTTTTAGCTGGCGGCTGTGAAAGGCATTAGCCAGGTCGTGATCTCGAGGATTATCATGTGCGCACCGGGAATGGGTACGTTCAAAACAATCTTAGGTGTAGGTACTGAGATCTCTAATTATTACTTTTTTTATTTTTTTTATTTGTAGTTCTACTGCCTCCATTGATGGAGAGTTTAGAGAAGAAGCGATGGATGCAAAGAATCAAACCACTTCATGGGCCTTTCCAAGTACTCATGTGCGGTATCTCGTGAGTTGAACGTTCATTTTAAAAATTTTCACTTAAAATGAGTGGGAAAAAAAAAAATCTAAATTACATTTGTTTTGCGTGAGACAGATTAACATTGATGGTGCCAACTGCCTGTGCCCTGTTTCCTCAAAAATGGTAAGCATGAATGACAATTTTCGGCAAATTTATCGCTTGATAACAAGTACGGAAGTTATTTATTAATTGTCCTAAAAATTACTTTCAGTTCGATTTCTACAAAAACACTGGAAAAGTATGAGCCGGAAAATTACGAAATACTGAAAGCAAATTGCAAAAATGGAAAAATACCAGAGTATCTTTATTTCAATAAAGGTCTGTAAATTAGTGAGCTATATAAATGTACATACCTATATTTTACAAGAGAAAAGCAATTGATGAAGTGGTATACCAACACTATCCTAAAGCAAGTTCAAATGAGAATAAAGATTTTTATTTTTATGATGTGTTACGATCTTCTCTCCTTGATGGAATTCAAGAAAATACAATAATTAGTGGTAATTTGTCGAGTCTCAAAGTGAGAATAAAAGTTAGAGTTGTGAAATGGATATTTTATGATATCTGAAAATGTTTAATTCAGAAATCTATGTTTTTGCTCTTGTCTTCCAAATAAAAAGAAATAAAGCAAAGTAGCACATTACATTACTGGTTGCATTTAATAGTTTGTTGTTTATTTCTAAGAGGCAATTTTTTATTCGTTGCCTGATGAAAAAAAAAAAAAAAAAAAAAAAATACGCTGCCATGTACGACTCAAGTATTTTGTTAATAAAAAAATATGAGGCAAAGTACTAAAAAAAAAAGTCGTTTTTTTTAAATAACTTATTTATAATTTACCTATGAATACAATCCTCATCCTATGATTGTAATAGTAATTCGAAGACCAAAAAACAATACTTTTACAATGTGATGTTTGACCTGCGTTGGGGTGCTGTCTGAGGAGTTTGTGGCACATATCCGATTCTTTCTTGAATCTCGGTCTGTGTCAGCTTTCCTCCCCATGAAGGAACATTTGGTCCTGATGCCTGTTTATCAGCATCTTTTTTGGCTTCCTTTTCTTTCTTTAATGCTTCATATTCCTGCAAGTCGTCGAGTCTCAACTCAATCTTCGTTGGACTGCGTCGAATCATTTTTCTGCAAACAATAATGCACAGTCGATGCTCAGCTAATCAGTGTCTTTCGTTTTTTGGATGTTAAAGTACATGTTTGAGTCATTTCAACATAAACATACAAAAATAGTGTAATATTTCGAAATTAATTCGTAAAAAGATAATAAATTTAAAATAAAATTTAACGGTTATATATGCTGAAATTATCTGACTAAACTTTGTTTACAACCTACCCCTAACTGGTGACTTGCCCAACAACAACAACCCATTCGAAAACAAAAAAAATCACATAGCTAATACTTTTTTAAGTTTGTAACACTACCTTTTCTCTGCATAAACAAATAGCCAAAACTTTTAGTTTGTTATGAGAATATTTACATAAAAACTTACGTACTTGTAAGACGCACTTGTTCCTTTTCAGAGTCTTTCGTCTAAGAGGTTAGGATGTAAGTATAAGTGCAATAGCTTACAGAAAAACTTGTGAAAAAACGAATAAGTAGATCGAATATCAGTCAAATCAAATCAATGTTCTTACATCACTTGTAATTACAATTTAATCTACTTCATCAATAAAAACGTCTGTCACCACAAAAAAAATGAAGTAATTTTCAATGTTCACGCGCCAAAAGTTGACATCTCGCAAGCACACACACTCGATGTCAGCTCTGCTCCCTGCGACGATATGCGTGACTGCGTGCTTTGTTCATTCAATCAGTGCCATCTAGCGTTATTGATTCCGAACCAAAAAAGTACTATTTTTGAATTTTCCACCCTAGATGGCGCTGAATATGTATATATTCAGTTTTCGCTTATATACTTTTTAAGTTCCACCTGTGGAAAACAAAAATAAAACAAATTACTCAAATTTGTTTGTTCATTAGTAAATAAGAGTATTTTTCAAATAGTTATTAGGACTAGCCCAATAAAAAATGGGAGAAAGTCAAGAGGAGCCGATCATTTGTATTCCAGGTATACTGGTTATTACTAATGTAACCTTCAACTGTTGAGCTTTTTAATCATACAATTAGATTGTTTAATTTTTCAGGGCAAAGATTGTGTGCTGCAGATAAAACGAATATCGCAGGACAAGGTACTTACGAGCAGCTCGGTTATGTCTACTCGAAATTTGCAGGAACAGTCAAAGTGGTCAAAGAAAAAGATGTAATTTTTTATTCGTATTGCATGTTTTGTCAAACCAATCCAGCTACTTGGCGTTATTTTTCAAATTTTCCAGACATGTACAGTCGAAGTTCATGGAATGACAGATCAGAGCATTGTCCCTGCCCCAGGTGATATAGTCACCGCAATGGTCACACTTGTTAATCAGAGATTATGCAAATGTATAATAAAGTGCATTGGTGATATTGTATTGAGTAGACCCTATCGAGGGATTGTTCGGAGGGAGGATGTGAGAGCCACGGAAAAAGACAGGATTGAAATGTACAAGTCTTTCAGGCCTGGTGATATTATTCTTGCAAGAGTGGTGTGTAACTTTGCGTCTCAATGGATAACAATACTTCAATTTTCAATTACAATGATTTGAAAAACATTTTTTTCATCCACTCTAGTTACCAATGACAGAAGCACATACGTATCAACTCAGTACAGCTGAAAATGAATTGGGAGTTGTGATAGCTCACAGTGAAGAAGGTAATTGAGTCACAAAACGTTATTTCTTGTGGTATGAACAAATTCGTTAACAAAAATGTTTATTCAATCATTGCAGGAGTATCTATGGTGCCAGTTAGTTGGACAGAAATGCAGTGTCCAAAAACATTGATCAAAGAGCTAAGGAAAGTTGCTAAGGTTGTGCCTGAAGAAGTAATTTTACAAAATGAATGATCATGAAAGTTAAGGAGATATTGACAGACGTGTAAAGTTTTTTTAATACTTATTAAAACATTGTTTCCAGCTATGGAAAATTCTTCTCGGTACTTAATATTTTAAAGTTTATCATTTGTTGCTGTTGGTATCAGGAAAATCTAAAATATAACATTTATAACGTGTATTGTTTTGTACCAAGAACATTGTTGACATGACGTATATGTACATTATTTGAAGAGATGTGTCATTTTTTTGAATAAAATGTTTCTATCACTGAAATTAGGCTACTGTATTTCGTCCCCTCCCGAGATTCACAATTAATAGTATAGTTTCATATAGATGTAAGACTTGACAACGATCCCTACGACGCTACAGCTCAAATGATAATATCGTGAGATACGTGTCGGACACGTTGATGGAAAATTATTATTTATACACCCTACTCTACAGTTGGCACGTGTATAATAGACCGGAAGTGTCAAGCGATGCGAGCCAAATGACAAGTATCGTTTGATCAATGTTTTCATTCACTCCGACCCTACTTGTATGATGAAAATCTATACTTGATGGTAAAAAAAATAGTGTTCTTTGATTGATATCAGTTCGCGTACTGTTGGCACACTTTTTCGTGTACAACGCCGTGAATTTGACTCAGTATTTTTCTCATCCCCAACAACGCACAAAGCCGGAAATCAATGAAATATTACTTCTCGCGCCCATTTGGCCAGAAATTGAAGTATAAAATGTTGAAATTAATGATAATAACTGCACTCGCTGCATCGATTCCCCAAGCACTGGCTAATGAAGAAAGATACGTTGATCTAATGATCGGATTGAAACGTTACTACGGTACTACGGGGATCGTCATTGTCTGCGGGAACTCCGACCCAAGTACGTCACTATAAATACTTTATTTTTTTTTTTTTACCATTTTACAAAAAAACAGCAAAGGTGCCCGGAGAGAGTGAACTTATTGTCTTTTTCAATATTAATTCCTGGAATAGAAATTAAAAAAAAAAAAAAGAACCATTCAACAAATACATATTGTACAAATGATAATCAAATCAGTTGCATTTTTACAGGATTCAGCATCCAGAGCAGCCTAACGCTGCAAAATGTGCGAGTACTGTCGGAGGAGGGGACCTTGGCCCAATCAACGAGCCTCGCCAAATTCGCCGGCTCGTACAACGCCACCTTCACCAAGTACCCGCGCCAATTGATCGTCCTGAGTCTCGAGAGCTCGCGCGACCTGTCCGACTTCGAAGCATTCACGAGGAACCACTTGCTGTCGTTCCACGCGTGGTTCGTCATTTTTCGAGGTCCGAACGTGACGCGGGAGGTTCTAAGAGATTTCTGCCTCGGGGCCACAAGTGCCAACCGATTCCACGTGAAGTTCGACACCCGCATGCTGGTCAAGTGTCACGGCGAGTCGAGCTTGCGCGAAGTGTTCGCCGTCGAGGGTGAGACTAAGGTGGTCGCGCAGGAGGTGATGAGCTGGAGCCGAGGGGAGGGTCTGGAAATGCGTGGAAATGCCCATCAGAGGCGATGCGACATGGCCGGTTCTGTTCTGCGAGTGGCGTCGCTGTGGGTACGGGCAATTGTGTAATCATCGATATTACATAACATAATATATAATATAATTATGTCCCATCAGTTTTATTACTCAACGATACTAGGTATAAAATTGTAGCGGAATTTTATCACATTACCGATTTCGGTAATAATCTCGTGATAACAGTAGTAGTTTTCGTCACACGAGCACCACCGGCTTACCGGCTATTGGAAGCCGGTTAGATGGCGCTTATGTGGCGAAACCTGTATACTGTATGTAGCTGCCTTAAAAAAAAAAAAAAAAAAAAAAAAAAGTAGTGCAATAAACGATCGTCCAATGGGCGTGAGAACAATCTCCGAGGTGCAGGAATAAGCTTAGATACTTTTTACTATCTACAGTATAAATCGTATATCTTAGTGAATAACTATAATGTGTGGTGATAAAAACCAATAACAAGGAATTGTTAAGTTCAGATTTAAGGCTCAGAATAAAATGTAGTTCTCGCTATTTATTTTGTATTTTCGTCATGGATGACATCTCGGAAAGTAAAAAAAAAAAAAAAAAAAAATGACAAAATTATTGAAAAGTACTACCAACGACGTACGATTGATGGAGATTGGTAAAGATAATTATTGTATAGTCTCAAATCTGGGCTTTATTAAATTCTAGTTGTTAGTCATTAATGTAATTATGGATAAAATGTAAAAATTGGACTGGTTTTGAATCGACAGCCCCTGCAATCGTCCCCCAAGATGATATCATCGTCATCCCAGCCAAAACGCACGGACCTGTTCGCGAGTGTTTTCACGGAGTTGGCCGACCAAATGAACTTCACCCTGAGCTTCGTGGAGTACGACTATTACGGTTACCCCAACAACAGTAGGACCAATAAGGCGTGGTCCGGTTTGCTGCAAACCGCTCGGAGCGGCAAGGCCGACGTCGTTGTTGCCGGCAACATTAGATTGACCAAGGAACGAGCCAGAGACTTCAATTTTGTCGGGCCCCTACTGCTCACGCGGGACAAGCTCTTCATCAAGGAGCCGGGAAAGTTTTTGGTCCACTGGAACGCCTACTTGAACGTTGGACCATTTTTTTTCTTCTTTTTTTTCTTTCTCCTCCTACAACGGACTCTCTGATGAAGTTATAACTTTGCAGGTTTTCAGTTGTGGGGTTTGGATCCTAATCGTAGCAATGATAATCCTCTCGGGGTTCTCGTTGACCTCCATGAGTGCGACGCTCAACCGAACGCGCGGCTTGAAAAACCTCTTGACCGAGAACCAACTGAAGGTCTGGGGTATTTACTGCCAGCAGGGATTGCCAGGTCCGTTAATTAGCTTCTCCAACCATTGGCACACGTCACCATTCATTATTCATCCACAGATTTCCCATCATCAGCACCCCCGAGGATAGTCTACCTCTTTGTGTTCTTCTCCGCGGTAGTCCTCATGACTTCTTACTCGGCCTTTGTCATTGGTTACTTGACCGTCCTCTCGCCGGCTCTGCCCTTCGACTCCCTCTCGAGTTACGTGCAACACGGCGCGACGCAACTCATTGTCGTGCGAGACACCGCCGAGTTCGACATGCTCAGGGTGCGTTGGTGTACACGTTTTTTTTTCCCCCCCATTGTATTTATATTCATGCGCATCAACAAACTCAACATGTGCTTGTCCATGAAAAACGCAGAACTCGAAGGATGGTACGTTGGCGAGGATGAACGCGATGATGAAGGAAGAAAATGAACTGCCCTTGGACGGCATCGGGGCTTTCGAGCAGGTAAACAAAATACGATGACCCAGTGGTTGTGTATGTGGTACATATAGATATCGAATCACTAATTTGTTTTCCTCTCTCTCTCTCTCTCTCTCTTACAGGTGTGCAACGAAAACGTAGCTCTGTACGCGGACGGTGCGATGGCCGAGATGCTGCAGGATCACATCGAGTGCAAATTGGTCGGCGTAACGACCGGGAGAGCAACTCACGTGGCGCTGGCTCTGTCCAAAGACAACTCGTTCGCTGGATTCCTCAATCACAAGTAAGAGAAACACACGGTTTCGATACATTTGATTAAAATTCTTTTTTTCCTTCCACCGTTGCAGTGTCTTGAGGTTGCAGAATTTCGGCATATGGCAGCGCATCAAGAACACGTACTTCGGAAAAAAGCAGGACCTACCAACAACCACGAGCTACGACGCGGTCGAGATATTCGAGGTAGCTCCGTTGCTCGCCGTATTCATTTTCGGAGTGATATCGAGCGCCTTCGTACTGCTGATTGAAAGCATCGTTGCACGTGCCAACGCGATGAATAAATGTTCCAATCAGTTTTTCATTTTTCATCGCCACACGAACGCCCATTAGTAATCGTAAGGAACGAGATAGAGATATCCGTGTTGGCGTGGTTATTCAACGGATACAACGAGTAAATGCATAACGAAAATAGTTTATTTGTGGTAAAGTTCAAGTTTAACAAGGCTAAGTGACAAGATGGAGGAGAAGCATTGATCAATGGTTTGTACGCGCTGGTATACGTATACATGTATACCGTTATATAAACATGATGATGGCACGTGAGTGTGGTTTTACTGGTTATCCTCGGGGGTCTCGTTCCTCTCTGCAAGAGCCGCCTTGATGGCCTCCTTGTAATTCTGGTACTGTTCCCTCCACTTGGCGTACAACTCGTCGAAAGCCACCCTGGACGCCTCCTTGGCCTTCTCGAAGTGCTCCCTGCCGCGTCTGAGGGACTCGGCCACGCGGGCGCTCCAGACCCTTCTCTCCTCCTCGAACCTCCGTTGGGCCTTTTTCCGGAAGTCCTCGTACTTCTCCCTCAGCTCGGCTGCCTTCTCTTTGCTCAGCTCGGCCGCCTGCCGGCTCTCCTTCTTCAGCTCCGCCACGAGCTCGCCAAAGTTCTGTCTGCCCCGGGCCAAGTACGCGCTCAGGGACTCCGACACGCTCTTCGCCCACTCGGACAGTTTGCTCGCGAACTCGCTCCTGTCGATCACCTCGTTGTCGGGGACCTCGGCCGAGTCAGCCTAAGGGGCCACAAAAAGCTCGTGGTGGGTTTTTTTTTTTTTTTTTTTTTTACATGAAAAATCATTATCAACGAGAGTGTCAAATCTTACCAGGACGAGGGTTGTGCCCAAAAGGGCGAAGACGAGGAGCTTGCCGTACAACATGATGATGTATAATGGTACTTTGAGGTATTCGTTGGTCCGACTTTGATGATCGAGTTGCCGAGCTCCTCCTTTCTCTCGGTATTTATACGCCAAGGTGCAATAAATCTGATTTTCGGGAGTTTGGCGCGTCAAATTGTTGCGTAAAAATAATTGTTTGTTCAATCACGGCACGTTATACATGCACATTGCGCGTTGTTCCGTTTGCTTCGTTTTATCGATATGCGGTGTATGTCTTATCGTCGCGGTATTATGCAACCTTTCTCACACCTCTGGTTTTTATTTGTATCCTTGCACTCTTACCGATTGCGTACATCGTTGGGTTTATTTATTTATTTTTTTTTTCCCCTTAAATTAACTTTGTCGTTGCGCAAGTTTTGTTGTTTTTTTGATTAAGTTTATTTTTCGATCAAGTTCAATTATTTATACCTGCCCTTGATGGAGACGAGTGCAAACGTTATTCGGAATATTACGAAATCACAATTGCACCGATCGTAAAAGTAATCGTTATTGTTTGTACGTTAAATTATTTTTATCAGAGTTCCGACACTTTAGCCTTTTTTTTTTTTTTTGTTGCATTTGATGAGATTTTGTACAATTACACATTCGTTCGAATGTAATTTTTTTTTAAATCTCGAGTTTTACGGAGTAATGAGAAGGTGAACATGTATAGTTTTCAGTCGATATCTCTTTGCTTAGCGCTTGCACTTTTATACCACAGAAGCCTAAAATTATATTTTTAACAGTTTTTACACATCTTTCATGTAGTTCATAATTACTATTACTTATTCACATTAATTATCTTATGCATTTACCTAAAGCATTTTTATACAGCAAATTGTAAACTTTATATTTAGTTATGTGCAATTAAGGGATAGTCACCCTTTACTTTTGTCCCACGACTGTATTAGACCACTGAGTTTTCACTTGAAGTAAATAAATTCATTCATTCATTTTATCATCGCTTACATCTATGGCCATATGGGCCTATGCTGGGTAGAGATTTTTTGTGCTCAGACCACGTAAATAGGTCCACCATTTTTATTTCGATTCCATTTTGTAATTAATTAACTACGTATGGCTTTTCTGTGTACTTTCTGCCTTTCCTGTGTTGAAATCCACGTATAGTTTATACATTCACCTTATCTCGATTGAAATTTCACTTTTGATAACTCAGGTAAAAAATCTTTTACGTAGCTCTCTCTCTCTCTCTTTTTTTTTTTTTTTTTTTTTTTTTCAATGATGGCATTTTATAAATTACATTTTGTATTAGATTTTTATTTTAAACTTAGTATTGAAAAAGGTTCTGTAAATTTGGTATAGATACTTTATACATATTAAATATAAGAAACAACCACTTTATGTAAAATCAGGAGGTAAAAATGAAAAATAATCAATTTTTTTTTTTTTTAATAACAAGGTAAAATGATTATGATTATATGGATAAAAAAAATCTAAATCCGTAGGTACCTCATAAAAAAAGTTTACAATGAAAACGTTATCCGAATAATACAATTACTCTGTATTTATTCTGCCTTTATGACTTCAATACCTCTTGTTCGTCTAATTGCGATATTACACGCTGTCTCGTTTTTTTTTCCATGTATCTCTTATAATTTTGTAATAATTCAATCAGTTTAGTTTTTGTACTTTCGCATGTTCTTTTGAGAGCAACGGTAACTTCGTCCACGACCTTCCGAGCGTTCCCCGCATTGCCTTGAGCAAAGCTTTCATCCCTAGCCTCTTTGACGAGAGTATCAAAAACATGTTTTTTTTCAACGTAGTCGCAATAAACGACGTCTTGAAATTGTTTTTGAATATCTTTTGTGGAGCTCACATTCATCCAATAGTATTTCCTCATTGCTTCCAAAAATCCAAAATTCATATCATCGATATGACCGTCGTGGAATATTCACACAGTGGTATTCCAATTATTTTCGTAGGCTAATATGCTCTTCGTCAAATTATCTTCAGCTTTAATGGGAATAACCTGTGAATCATCGTGTCGCAATAAATTTTTATGTCGAAATTTTTGTTACATATGTACAAAAAAATTATTTTAAACAATAAGCTATACGTATTCATTAAAAATGCTGCATTTTGTACGTGTAATGCACAACTTGTAAAATCAGTAGAGAATAAAAATGTAACTATACATTATAATAATGATTATATATACGAAAAATTTATTGCATTTCTTAAACAATATTACAAACTGCGTGTTTTATCATACATCCTTGGATATCTAAAATGAGTGAAGTGTTATGTACTTATGATGAATAAAGAAAAATATTACCAATACTTATACGGGTCTTCAACATTTTCGGAATTTCATAGCAACTTGTAAGTCGATCGAAATTCATAAAAGTGTGAGGTGTACTGTATAAACTTGTGAGGTGTAGGGTTCACAACAATGAATTTTTACCGAGTTTTCGAGGCAATCGATTCTTCGCGATTTTACGGTTGACAATGGCATTTAACCGTTTCTTCTGTCTAAACCTTCTAATGATTCTCGATCGTCTTTGGCGATAAATGCTGCACTCGCAAATCAATATAGTGGCAGATAAAACGGCTCCGAGGATGAAAATGCCCACTATTGGTATCACGCCGAAAAAGGTGACGGGGAAGTAGCACGTGTTGACAAATTTGAATTTTTGGAAGTATTGGCGCTTGAAACGCTCGATTATTCCGAGTGCCCGCATACTTTTCAAGCTGAAAATTCATAAGAGGAAATGCACAAGTACATGTACATGTTTTACTTGTACTATATACTATTGTGAATTGTGGTGAAGGAAAACGTAAGGAATTTACTTGTAATTAATAATTTCCAAGTAGGGACTGTTTTTGGTCAAGGTGAAGCCCAGATTGTCCAATCGGCCCTGTGTCAGGGACATGACTTCGCAAGGCGAGTACCGGCTTATTTTCTCGATGAACAGTTGATTCGTGAAGAATACAACTTTTTCGTTGCATACCTGAAATGAATCGTATCACATGAATTTGTCAAAATCCATACCAGTAAATAATGATGAATTATTGATCATGGAATCGTGCTAGAGCATGCTTTATGACTTAATACTGAAATAGCAGCTTATTTAAGTAATTACTTGGTTTATCGCCGAGTGGATGTCGAGCGGTAGGTCTTCGTCTTTCTTCATGAGTCTTCCCATTTCGAAGAATATTGAGTTTTTCTTACGCTGGAACACATGAAAAATAACGTTGACCATTTATTTGTTGCATAAATGGCTATGAATACCGCATAATTGGCTGTGAAATATTTATTACTTGGACTTGAGATAAACAAATCGCTCGCGACTATAACGAAGATAAGTTACCGAGTGGCTATTCAAATAATCTAAAAATTGAAGAAGTCATTCAATTCAATGATTAAAATCATCTCACAAAGGAAATTCTTGCAAATATCGTACATATTTTTAGATTAGGAGTTTTTAGTCTGGTACCTTTTTCGTTAAGCGGGAACCATTAATTTAATGCTCTAGACGCTTTTCTGTCGTCAAATTCAATGCTCATCAATCTTAAGATAACTACTACCATTACCACTATTATTATTATTACTATTATTAATATTACTATTATTACTATTATTATTATTGTTGTTGTTTTTGTTATTGTTATTATTATTACTTGATCTTGGCAATCAGGGTCTTACACGTTACAGTTTCAAAGTTGTTATTTAAAAAAAGTACTGACATCACTTATGAAATGTAATTATTTTGCAGTATGAATGTGAAAAAAATCGTACATTACTCTGCGAAGGAAACGAAAGAATAATGTTATCAACGCTCAAAAAAATTATAGACACGGCATATTATTTTGTTGATCTTAAATCGAATTGTCATGTTGAATCATCAATCGCAAAAATATAATCATGGAAAAAAAAAAAAAAAAAAAAAAAAAAAAAAAATACGCTGCCATNGAAGTTGTTAAAAATACCGGCTGCATGAATTAAAAAAAAAAAAAAGGAAAAAAAAAAAAATTGGTAACGATCATTTGAAATCAGCGCATGGGATGACAACCAACCGAGAATAGCTCGTGGTTGGCACTGTCGCGCAGAACGATCAGCTTGTAGGTTCCGTCCGCGATGAAGCCATCGTAGGAGTCGAAGGGTATGGTTGGCGTGAACACTGTCAGGTAGCTCGTCAAATAGGCCGAGTAGAACGAGTAAATGACCAAGGACGAGACGAAAATCGAAATGTAGGCCAAGCGCAGCGACGAGGCGGCTGGAAACTCTGTCGGGCGGTAAACAAGAGCTTTAATTATCAGGTACGCTATGCGCTCAGCGATGTTTGTACGAGCTGAAAAGTGATTTTTACCGGGTAGAGATTTCTGGCAGTAAATACCCCAGACGGACATGTACTCTTCCACCAAATAGTCGTATCTGATTTCGGAGCCGTTTATCAATCTGTACATCATGGCGAACACTAGAGGGACAATCATCAACGTTACCATCAAAATAAGCCACACGTCCCTCTCAAAAGCCTGAAAGTATACACCGTTGGATTTTCTTATTGCGATATTTTCAAAAATAAATGTAAAAAAATGATGATGAAAAAAAAAAAAAAAAAACAAAAACAACAAAGCGGAATAGTATATGTGCCTTTGTGTAAGATGACCAATCGACTATCGTCTGGTTGGGCCGTCTGATGTAGAGATCCGAGAAAGTGAGCATCAGCGGCACTGTGTAATCGACGACCTCTGCGCGATGATGGTTCATCGTGAACTCCCCGATTCCAATGTCGACGTTTTTCGACACCAGTTCGCCAATAACGCCAATCCATTCTTTGGTGGACGCGTTCCAGACCCCGAAAGAATCTTTGGTGGACACGTGCTCGATAGTGAAGTTCATCTTCTTGGAGAGCTCGACGAGTACGGTGCCGTAGAACTCGTTTGCAGTGAAGTTGGCCTTTACCACCGGGTAATCCGTCTGCGCGTTGAACATTCGTGGTTTTTCGATGGTTCATTAAAATTCGTAAAAATTTTGAACCGTGAATTTCCTGGTTTTAACGATACTTTTCGGGATACGTTGCATTTCGTACCAGAACATGGAAAAAGTTGGTCACACTTAACTAGCACCTAATCGAACCTCAATCACATATTTTTATGTTTCAACTGTGTTTGTAAATTACAGCTACATTCGAATTCCAGATACATAATTTTGTAAAATCTTTGGTTTATAAAATAAGACCAAATAAATTGTTGTCATTACTTGTAGTTGAGGTATAAGTGCTACTATTACAATAAAAAAAAAAAAAACTCAGTAAGTTTATAGAACTATGTTCCAGCATAAGGACACATGCATATACCGCCGAAGTTAAACTTCAATCCACAATCGACTACTAGAAAGTACCGAAGTAAAATCCCAATAAAGAGACAATCAAAGCAACGTATTCATACCAGTATCGTGGATACTCTCAGCCGGTGTCCTTTGAAGTCGCTTCTTCTGTCGTGATAGTTCTTGTCCGAGTTTCGGCGTATTGTTCGGCCATTAATCCAAACGCCGTAATCTCTCACCTCGACTCTCGCGCTGTCGATGGAATACCACTCCTTCAACATCGGATCGCCCTGACACCTGATCAGCATCTTCGTACTGATCACCAGATGAAGGAGATTGATTTTGGGATCGTTGCAGTACTCGTTGAAACTTTCGTCGGGCGATCGATCGAAGAGTACGAGCCACTTGTGAAGCGCCATGTTGTAATTCTTGGTGATCGCGGAAAATCTATGGAGATCTTGCAGGGACTTGAGCATGACGATGATCAACGGTTGGACGATTTTACCGTCAAAGTAGACGACTTCTTGGCGAAACTTTGTAAAACTTATGCTCTGCGACAGGATAAATTTGCGTGACAACTCTTTGGACACTTTCGACATGAACTGCAGCTCGGCGAGATCTGAAATTTCAAATTTGGAGGAAGAAGAAGAAAAAAACAACATTATTTGCGTACATGTACGCGTATACTCTACTTTGGTATTTCCCAGCATTGACGATGATTACGCTGGACGCGCCGAAAAACTTTTGCACGTTGGATATGATTTTCACGTAGTCGTGGTACTTGTAGTTTTGCGTGCCATTGTTACCATCGCTAACGCGTTCGCCGATTGCACAGGAGAGCAGCGAGATCGTTAAAACGAGTATTACCATGCTGCTGCAAGTGGAAGGTGCCCGTGGTAGACTACTTCTGCTGATCCACTGAACGACAAACCTGCACGAATCGCTGAGGGATTTTCAAACATAAACATGAATACGTCCGTACGCATCACCTTTCACCCGTCGATGTGTTTTTCTATGCGTTATTCAATTTTTTTTTTTTTTTTTTTTTTTTTTCCCCTCGTTAGATTTGTTGATCCATACTTCTTCACCTTCGCTTTTCCCCCCTGGCTAGGAGCAAAGCGAGGACGTCAATTACTTTTTTTAAGGTTCAATGGCTCCTCTGGAGTGCGCTCGTTTGCGATTGTTGTCGGAGGTTCGGTATAGGTCGATATAAGGACGCGCCGTAGGACGTTCTTTCTTGTTTAGTTTAGCGAAGAGAGGGAGGGGCAGGTGTGTCGGATACTTTTTTTCCCCGAGTAATCGTGTTTAACCATCATCGGCCTTTCGGTCGTTGGATTCTTTTTTTTTTTTTTTTTTTTTTTTTTTTTTCAACAAGTTAAACGTTAGTGACTTTTAAAATTTAAGTCAATGAAATTAAAATAGTGAAATTGTAAAATACAAGGAAAATAAACAATTCACACTGCAATGTACTTATTGGGCACAACTGCTTCCCAGGAGTTGCGTATATTTTTATCAGAGCCAAGAAAAATATATAAACCTGCATACACGGATCGTTTAAATTTTGCGTGTGAACGAACTCGATACGAGGCTGGTATGAATATGAGGGTGACAAAATTTTTGTATACGTTGTTGATGAGCCATGTTGATTGGAAAAAAAAAAAAAAAAAAAAACAGCTACAAGGTGTCAATTTGTCGATTTATAACTCAGTGACGATGGTACATCGACTCGAGGACAAAAATAAAAAACGAGAGAGAAATCCCAACTGCCAGTACGACGAATACAGGAACAACGCTCGAAAACGAAACTTCATCGTAATTAATGGCGAGATTCTCGTTGTTGGCGCGAGCGTAACGATTTTTCAAACCGTTCAAAATTCCACTGCTGCGTAACTTCTGTAAACTTCACGGCAAAAATATCGTCAAACGAAAAACTCACCCCCATACACCGGACAAATGAGACAAGGTTTACTCACCCGTGGTTGAAAAGCTTCACGTATGGACTGTGTTTCGGAAAAGCAAACGCCACGTTGATCCGATTGCCTCGTTCGAAGCCCACTAATTTGCAATCATATTTCGATACTTCCCGACGAACCGTGTAATCGTCCAAGTACAAAACGACTCTTTTGCCGCTGCATATCTTTACAAATAATAGTAAAGGACATGGCCGTTGGTAGTTTTATGGATGTACGGAGTAATATATAGGTATAGTCTACCTGTTTAACGGCATCCGAAGGATTTGTTGGTAATTCGTCTTCGCTGAGCATAACGTTTCTCAGTACTTGCACTTTTGGATTTGTTGACGTCTGCAAAAATACAATGACGGTTTACTTTAAAAGTAACAACGAAATCGTAATGCGAATAAAAAAAAAAAAAAATTTATTTACAGTGAATTCTTCGAAATAGCTGGAATCTTTGACTGTCGAAAGTTTATGTGTCCCGTCCGCCAGAAATTCATCGATCGAAGAAAATGGTAAATTCGGTTTGAAAATCGTTATGCGGCTCATGAGGATTGCCGAGTACGCCGACGAGATGACAAACATCAATACGTGTAGGGATACGTAAGCGATTCGTATGGACGATATATTTGTAAAATCTGATGTAGAAAAGAAAAAAAAAAAAAAAAAGGATACATTTATTACAAAAGTATTTTCGCGGTATTGATTGGAATGAAAGTGATGGTCGATCATTACTTATCAAGGGCATTTTGCAGATGATGGCCATCACATCTGTGAAACATCCGGAGAAAACGATGAAAGCATTACCCCGATGTGGCACTGTCTTCCTTAACTTTTTGTCATAGTATAGCATCGTACTGGCGACAAAGACCATTGTACTCGCAATTAAAAAAATTAGAAAACACCCCGATCGCCTTTCGAACGGCTAAAGACAGAAAAAAAAAAAAAAAAACTTAATTTTACTATATTCAATACCATGGATGCAGGGGTCAATATAGAAGTGGTGTTGTGGAAATCCATACCTCGTAGTACGTGGACCACTGTAAATTGCGGTTGCTTGGTTCTCTAACGTAATAGTATGCAGGCGAAACGTCGAAAGGCATGGAAAAATCGATAATTTTCATTCTGCGGTCCGTTACACCGAATCCACCCAATCCCACGTCCACATCGTTGTTTGCAAGTTTTTTCATGATTCCAGTCCACGTGTACGCTCCGCAAGATTTTTCGAATGAAAAATCCATACGAAAGTCACCTATTTTCGCTACAATGGCTAATATATCTTTGAAGTGGTCTTGCACAGCGTCAGTCTAAAATAATGCAGTCATTGAGTTGTTTCGTTGCAATTTCTTGCATAACCGTCCCATCCATGTTCGATTACCCCGACTGTTGCAACCTTAAAGTGTAGACCTTTCGAAGAATTTCGCCGAGCGAACAAGGGCATACCGTTGCTTGTCAACAGTTTAAAATCGTGAGACCACGTGGCATACTCAGCCACAATTGTTTCGTTGTCACGTAAAGCATACCATTCATTTACTTTGTGGTTATTTTTTTTCTCGCAATAAATTAGCATTTTTACATTGAACGTCAGATGAAAGTAATTCGCCTTTGGATTCTCACAAACATCCATTAAATCTTTGTCAACGTTTTTGGAAAATATTACTAAATACGCGCAATAATTTAAGCTGCTTGCTTGCAGGCTGAGGTAGACGAAATCATCAAAGTCTTTCCAATTGTTCAGTGTAATCATGATAAATGGTCTCACAGTTCTGTCCTTGTGGTAGTCCATGGCTGTCACGAGATTTCTGATATTCGTCATTATAAAATATTTGTTTTTTTCAGAAAGCAGTTTAAGAAATTTCAAATTAATCGTCGTTTCTGGAGTAACTGAAAAGTGTAACACATGTACTTGGATTTTTTTTTTTTTTTTTCAACCACAACAAAGCTTCCGTTTTGCACTTACTGTTCTTTAAATCGTTCATACCGATAATTATATTAGGATAGTTGTATTCGTTCTGAAAATCAACTGAAAATTGAAGGCAATCGCTATGCCTACCACAAAAGTGAGTACAAAGTATAAACGAATAAATACACGTTAATAAAGTTTGCATTGCGATGAATAATTGAACTAGTTCAGAATTTCCTCTTAACAATAGTATAGTTCTAATTGGGGTGAAAAGAAAATATAAAATAGTTTTTATAACATAATACCTATGAACAATCTAATAAATAATTTCGTACCATAGTCTATTTTTTTTAATTAGAGTTTTTAATCGTAAGTAAGTACTTATATCAATTAAACTTCACTTTAAAAGAAATCAAATTTACGGAAACGTACTAAAATAAAACTAAAAATAATAAATAAACAACGTAAGAATTTTTTAAGTAACCAAAAAATCAATTTTAAATATCGATAGTCATTAACCGTTTAAAAATTTAATTAAACGATAAAATTTTTATTGTAACTTTGAAACAACAATACTACTAGAGTCATTTTATTTACTCACTACGCGTGCCGAGCTTTACTAACTTTTCAGACGGTAGAAAAAAAACACTTTAATCGTACGAGTACTTTCTCTAGTTGGTGGTTTCCAACGATATTCAAGTGGTAAACAGTTTTAATGAATACCATACGTCTAAAAATGAGGTGCGTTAGAGAAAACCACAGTATTAGAATGGTTTAGTTCACGTTGAAGTCATTACTTATTCATAATGCTGATGTTATCTACGCCCATGGGAGGGAAAATTTCTCTAGCTGCGGTGTGAAAAACATAGGGCTAACAACCTTGATTCATCTACAAGAATTTTTTAATCCAACCATATTTGACTGGTTTGAAAATATGATAAATAAAAATAGGCTTCATACGGTAAAATTTTACCTGCTCATAATTGTATTTATCTTTATGTTAATATTTATCAAGATGGTAGTTTAAACTAAATTATATTGCACATATAAATATGATTTTTCATATTTATGTAGGATTATTGTGAATTTTTAGTTCAGTAATTCTTATGAAACTTTCATCAACTTCTTCGAGTTTATTGTGAACAATGTTTTATCCTAAAATTAAGAACAATTAATAAGATCTTTTAATTCCTCGTGTTCATGAATATTTATNATTCAATGTGGTATAAATTACATCAATATTACATGCCAATAAATGTCCCTTCAGAACGGTCATAACACAATTTATTTTGACAGATATTATTCAAAAGTCAAACGTTTATCAAAGAATGCATAAAAAATATTTATATTAACTACAGCTCATTTGACTGTACTGATTTTAAAATACAATATCAAGAATATAAAATTTAAAAAGCTCGATTGTCCTTGTAAGTTGTCCAAATCAAGATTTATTTCAATGATATGATACTTCATTTTTAATGAAGAAACAATTGTGCAATTACGAAAAACAAATAAATTTAGTATTCTTATTAGTCAAGTCTTTGTTAATTTACCTCATAATTAACAACAAGATGAGCTGACGTTCAGTTATTTATTAAATTTATGTAAATATACCTAGTTTCTCGCACAGGGTTCTTTGTTTTTGATTTGCATTCGGTACTTAATCTTCGTTTTGCTACGCTTTTTTGAACTGATAAGATATCCCTCTCAATAAATGCACTCCCGAATAAAATACAAAAGTTACAAGCCGAATTGATAAAATTATTAACAAGTATGAAGTTAATAGTTATGCATCACCCATTATTAATCAAGTATTTTCGTAACAAATGACAAATTCAATTTTGTACGAAAAATCACGAATTTCTACGTATAGCGTATAAGCACAATAGGTTTTTTTATGTTAAACATTTAATACATTTTTGTTTAACTTTATTTGATCATTACTGTTCAAAATAACGGATGTTGACTACAGGGAAATAAAGGCGAGACAACCACAAACAAAAATGTATAAACACAATCAAAGTAAGTTGACGTTAAATATTTATTTAAACACATTGAATGTAGGATTCTCCAGTTGTTGTTTCAAATTTAAAATTTTGTTTTTCGCGGTGTTGTACTCTTCATTCAGGTTCTTGATTCCTTGAAAAATTAATTTTCTGACCGTCTCTGCATCTTCCTTTGCCGCAGCATACTCAACAATATCGGCGATCTTCTTTTCCTTATCCGAGTACTTATGGTAGGTGGTAGTAAATTCATGTTCAATATCACTTATCCAATTGGTATGCTTTATATCAAGTTGAATGTAAATATAGTAATTTACGAGCGCGGTGAGCCAGCCTTGGTACAACTGATACATATCGTTGTTCAGACTTTCCCTGGTTTTATTCCATTGATTCATATAGTTCGACGTGGCATCAATGGCGATGATGGTTGATCCATCTGCAGTAGTAGCAGGTTTAGCCTGTGAAATAAAGTAACATTGATTTAAAAACCCCCCTGTCTCGTGTATCCGCTGGGTGGAGGGGAGGGCTGGTGCTACTCATCACTTTAACATATTGTGCCTTATGGGCTGTGGGAGTAAATTCTCCAATGACGGCCACTTGAACTATTCTCTTCCGTAAGATTTAATATGGGCTTTGGGGGCAAAACGAGGGCAGCACCGGTCGTGCACCGTATTTAACATTATAGTTCTATTTTACTAAGCTAGATTCGAACGTTAGACCGCACGTGTGCACCACCCCTATTAAATAATGTCTGATGAATATCGTACACGAACAAGATGATTCAGTTACCTCCACAATTTAAATGAAAAGCTACAAACTTGTTTTTGAAGTATTAAGTATTGTGTATCTGAGAAATAAGTTGTGGACACTTATGTTTTTTGTAGGTTAAACACCATTATTCATGGAAAATCACAAACTTTCCAAAATTAGAACTAGCTTAGAATGTTTTTTAATAATAAACTATTCAAGTATTCGCAGTTTTAGCCAAGTTTTAGCACTTGACTAGAAAGAGGTAACGACGGTGCTACCTTCACAAGTTCAAACTGTTCTCCTAAAATAATATTTCAAAGACCAAATGTATGCAGAAGTTCGATTTACAATATTTAAATCCTGCCTTAAAAATTATATTCAGATCTTTATATAATTTACATGCAAATCGGTATAGTATTTTAGTTACTAAACTTGTACTTACAAAAGTTGAGATTGAAGTAGAGGTTGTCCCCAAGAGGGCGAGAACGAAGAGTTTGACTAGCATGTTTGATCAACGGAAATTCGTTGAGACTTTCGAATCGAATGACTTAACGCCTCGCCGAGCTAGCTTTATATCTAACTATTTATACCTACAATTTTAAAGATACTTAGCTTTTTTTAGATGAGATAATAGAGTGGAAAATTTTTGTCATCAACTAGCATTCACTAACGGCTATCTACTACAATGTTTTACGTGAGACATGATTCCATACAAAATTTTTTCAGTATTAAAACATTTTAGAGTAATCATCACACCCTCTTATCAGCTTGATTATCAGAAGTAACTGTATTTCCAAACTACTGAAGTATTGCTATTCTTTTTTCCTTAATGTCATTATTTGAATTCACACATTCATATATTTAGTTGTTCTTTACAGAATTTGAAATGAGATTTACTTGTATAACTTTTTTTACAAGATAATAATATGGGAATCCCTTATATTGTGCATAAATCTACGAGCCTCTACAACGTGACGCATGTTTATTTCCTCGTTAAGTTTTTGAACCTCGGTGTCATGTAAAAATCCTTTATTTTCGATTGATTTGATATATTTTACTGTGCCTCAAGAACTGCCTTTAATACTTTTGCAAAATTATGAACTGCAATTCTTCATCCCTTGTCTTCAAAACCGAGTAGAAAATAAACATTGCAAATTAAAATAAATCATTTTCAACAACAGATCAATACTGTTTATAAAGTTGTGTTACAAAACTTTTTACCAAATTGATAAAGTTTTTACAAGTTTTTCAAGAATAACAATTTTTATATACTTTGCTTTATGTAAATCGAGATAATCAGACATTTTGGTTTCCACGATTTTACTTTAAACACAGTTTTAATCTATGTAAATAACTGCAAGGATATTTGCTGAAATAAAATTTGTCTATTTTCATAATGAAGTTTAAATACTCGTAGCTTTACATTTTACTGTTTTTGCATCGCACATAGCTTTGAAAAAATTATCATCAACATGAATATAAGAAGTTATACTATTATATACATGAAAAAAAGTACTCATATTATTGAATTCCCCGAAACATAATGAAAATAATATATTTATTTTATTGAAGGTTGCTTAATCAACTTGATACAAATAATTTTTTAAATATTAAAAACAGGATATGTGATGTTCTTCAAATTTTGTTCACTTGAAAAGTCGACAAAATTACTATTGCTGTGCATATATATTATATTGTTTTCTCATTCTAAAAATACCGCTGTTGTCATCGTGACAGAGTGTTATTAGGTACAACGATTAATGTAATTTAATTTTTTGGTTTCATTAAAAATGATATTTTATCTCTGGTACATTGGATTTTTTTGGATTGGATACCAGATTTTTTTGTAATTTTATACTTAAAGTGATAAGTTAACAGCATTTACGTATTATCTTGGCGTATGGATATCATTAGTTATGTTGATTATGAGAATGCTTTTTCAAATCTCGTATGGTAATATTAACGGCGGTTAAGTGTTTTTATATCAGTGGGATGATATCCTGTCTTCCGAATAAAAAATTTATAACTAAAGATAAACAGATAAAAACTTAAATTTTTAAATCCCTCTAGATCTTACACTTTTTTTGTATAAAAATAAAAAAATAAGTATTCAAATCAATACTTTATAACGGTTTTTTTTATAGAAAAATATCACCACTACATGTAATAACATCCATTTGACTTTTATGGTTGAATGCAAAAGTAAGGAGTGTCAATATATGTATTTGAAATGTATTTAAAGAACTGCAATACTTAAAATAATAAGAATCAATGTCAATACACTCATTTTAGAATAACTTGGAAAAATGAGTGGATACTAACTAACGCCACCTACATGGGAAAATATAACGATACTAACTAAGAAGAATACACACAGTCTCTTATGGACAATGAGCCATGAGCGTTTATTTCAACAATAATATATCTTTCAAACTTTCTGCTCACATGCTTGTATTTTGTGACTGAGTATTGCGATTTTCCTTGAATATCAACTCGTTTCGTGCTCACTTATACGTTATATGCATTTTATACGAGAAATTTCCTTTTTTTGTTTTATGAAACTATTAAAAAAGCAAAAAGCATTTTTTTGCTACTAACATGGCACTTGTGCGAATAGTAGAAAAATCAGAAAACCCAGTGTCAAATCTATTACACTTGGCAGTCGGGAATTTGTTGAAATTGTAGCTCAAAGAGTGCATGTGTGTTAGTACTTATATGTATGCCTATCGATATATTTTTTGTTATCGTAAAAATACTAAAATTTTGAAAGTTTGATAATTGATTTATTTATCACCAAACTCTCTGTAATGACCATTTTTACTTTATTTCGAATAAACTTTTAGTATACTTAAGGTCAAAATTACACGTAGTGAAATTAATAATAACAGTAATATGTCGCTCTACGCTGTAGTGTAGCCGAACCGAATGGATTATCGCTGATGGGTCGGTCTCAACAAATACTTT